ACGCACCGCTAGAGAAACTTCTCTGCCACCTTCAACAGGAAGATATGATATCCTTTACAACCGTGTTTATGTATGAGAATGTTATTACAGGTTCATTCAGGGACTTTTTATCAGTCTGTCATTGAAATTAGTTAAAGTCAGTAATAAATTATTAGTAACTTTTTTGGTGAAACAATATTTTTGACATTTTCCTTAATTTAAGTCACATCTTCCAGCTGCCTGCTGCTGCCCATGAGGCACTACCCGGAATCCACTTGTGATAAAAAACAAAAACCTCTTCTGATCCATATAGTGTACGTCAATATAGTGCTGTGAAACTTTTACTCGAAGAACATTTAAGTGAAATGGTATACATAAGCTTCAGATGACTATAGACGGTTTTAATAATAGATGCGAAGTTTAATAATAAATCACTGCTGACAGGCCCTAGTACATAATTACACTCATGAGTTTCTTTACTCAATTCCTACCTCATGTTGCATATTTTTTTAATTCATTATTTTTATTCATGTAAGTGTTTTGTGTATGTTTTTTTTTTTTTAATTTTTATGAATTTATAAAGTTTTGTTTAATAAAAAATTTCAACAAATATTACATTCTCTTTGACTTTCTCTTTGAGTTAAAATTAAATATAATAAAAAGGATAGTTTTGAGGGTCTGTGAACTTGGATTTTATTAAATGACACACAACTTGCACCAACACATTAATTAAAATAGCTGTTAAATGCACTTGATTTCCATCAAAACCACAAGTTTGTCCTGAGGTGTAAAGATTATATGAAACCCATACTTGAGTAAAAGTACAGATACCGTACAGTGAAAATGAGTCCACTAACATGTTACATGTCACCAATTCCAAAACAACTTGAGTAAAAGTCTTAGAATATTTTATTTTAACAGTACTTAAGGATTTTATAGGCGCAAAGATGCACTAGTCAAAGAAATATTCCAGTGAAAAAATTTAACGTGGAGAATCTGGGGAAAACACAGGTATAGGCAAGGATGGAAAAACTAGAAAAAAAAAACAATAAACCAAAAACCACAGTGAATAAAGAATGGAATGATGAGAAAACAGCCAACCATTACATTCAACAACTCACAAGGAACTAAAGAAACACGGGGGCCATATATACACAGGGGGCTAACAAGACACACTTGGGGAGACTAATCAAGCGGAAACAAATGGACTGCAAACTGACTACAAATACCACATGAGACAGGAAGCGCAAAAGTCCAAGACGAGGCACAGAGAACAGGTAACAAGAAAGATTTGATTTGTGAGGAGAGCAAATCGTATTTATTTTCTAAAACCAAAATAAAACTGAACACCTCAAAATTGCAAAAAAAACAACAACATCCTCTAAAAAGGTCTCTTCACTGGTAGATAAAATAATGTTAAGTAAAATGAAAAAGTCAAAGCCTTCTTGCACTGCATGTGCTGGGTTCGGCCTCATTGCTGGCTGCAGTCATAATGTCCTCATCTCATGTATAACACCTGTGATAAGCTAAGGAGCTCGCATTCACGTAAAGTATAGCCTTGTTGACAAGTTTGGTTGAGTAAGGGTCATATAGTACTTCCAGAGCACTGTAGTAGGCGGTACCACATCTTTTGTAGCAGATATAAACTGCTGCAGAAAAGCTAGGTACCATGCAAAATGTAATGTGTATAACTGTGACACTCATTTCAAATAGTGGAGTAAAGAGTACAGACATTCATTCAAAAATGTAGTGAAGTAGAGAGTAACAGTTGCTAATACCTTTGATACTCAGTAAAACTACAAAGTATCTGAAAAGATACGCAAGTACAGTAATTAATTACATTTACTCAAATACTTTACACCTCTGAATTTGTCTAGATTTTAAGAGCTCCCTGAAGAATGATCTGTGCCTGACCAATGATGTCCAGTCTACCATCATTTCTTATCTCCAGCTTTACCTCGCCTCCTCGACTGGAGCACTGGTAAGCTGCAAAAACAAATATTGCAGAGATGAATGCTTTATTCTGAGCCAAGAGCCTTTGTTCATGTCATCAGAACTTATGTCCTTACACATTTGCTTTTAAACGTGTTTATTCGATCATGTTAACTTCCGTTTTAATGTGGATTCTGATGTATTTTATGCCAATGTGTGTATGATGGCATGATGCAGGGAAGGATAAGGCGGCCTTTACCCAACATGTTCTTTTTCTTCAGCTTTTCAGACCAGTAGCCAGCAAGGACTGTATGTGCAGACCCTTTTAGAAATGAAGTTGTATTATGATGCTTTGATTGCTCTGCATGTAAATGGTTTGAGTTTACATGATACACATTTCAAACAGCTTTTAAATGTTCTTCTCACCAGTGACTGGATCTTCAGAGACCCCAACCCACGGGGCGAAGACACGGGAGTAAAAGTCATATCCAGACTGAGTGCTCTCTGCTCCTTTCAGTGTAATGATAAGACTGTTAATCTTACCAGTGGTTTCATTTCTCAGAAGAGACTCTGCCTCTGGCCTCAAAGACACAAGTTCAGACCTGCCAACAATTAAGAGTTAACACTGCAGAATGAAAGGGAAAATACTATTGTAAATAGGTAGTATATGGGCAATTATTTTTTCTCTGACAATGTTGCACTAAAATGTTTTTTTAAAATCTGCCTCACATACAATTTGCAATAGATTATTAATTTTTCTCTGCAAAGCTGTTTTCCTATTGCCCATAAACACATTGCCATGATCAATAGAATTTTCTTTCTTGTTCTTTTTTAGAAATGCCTAAGAAAAGTCCAGCAGCATACCTGTCACAAGCGTCAGCCAGACGAACCATCAGTTTCTTTGTGGTTGGACTGTAACACACATCCTGAATGGGTAAGTCTCCTACAGCAGTCTGAAAATTTCAAACAAAATGAATAAATAAATGCTAGTTTCTACTTGTGTCACACTAAAACCAGAATTAGCACATGGCAGTGTTACCTTTAAAAGATCCTTGATTTCATGTTGGTCCTGCAAATAACACATACAAACCTAATAAATTCAGACTACTTGATTAATCATGAGACTATATGAGTTTTTTTGAAGAAAGCATCCACGAGGTGTGTTTTGGTCATACCTGGGGCTTTGGTTTGTTTAAGGGAAAGTCCATTATTACAGATTCTTCATGCTGACGCACATAAAGCTCCCCACTCAACGTCTCAAACACCAGTACAGGGTTGACATTTTCTGTGGGATGATATTGTGCTTTTTGAATAGTCACAGTCCATTGTCTTTGGTTAAATATTAATGTAAGAACAAGTGTTTCTTACTTTTCATGTAAAAGAGCACTGCTGCTGAGTGAATGTTGCACTAAAATGTTTTTTTTTAATCTGCCTCACATACAATTTGCAATAGATTATTAATTTTTCTCTGCAAAGCTGTTTTCCTATTGCCCATAAACACATTGCCATGATCAATAGAATTTTCTTTCTTGTTCTTTTTTTAGAAATGCCTAAGAAAAGTCCAGCAGCATACCTGTCACAAGCGTCAGCCAGACGAACCATCAGTTTCTTTGTGGTTGGACTGTAACACACATCCTGAATGGGTAAGTCTCCTACAGCAGCCTGAAAATTTCAAACAAAATGAATAAATAAATGCTAGTTTCTACTTGTGTCACACTAAAACCAGAATTAGCACATGACAGTGTTACCTTTAAAAGATCCTTGATTTCATGTTGGTCCTGCAAATAACACATACAAACCTAATAAATTCAGACAACTACTTGATTAATCATGAGACTACATGAGTTTTTTTGAAGAAAGCATCCACGAGGTGTGTTTTGGTCATACCTGGGGCTTTGGTTTGTTTAAGGGAAAGTCCATTATTAGAGATTCTTCATGCTGACGCACATAAAGCTCCCCACTCAACGTCTCAAACACCAGTACAGGGTTGACATTTTCTGTGGGATGATATTGTGCTTTTTGAATAGTCACAGTCCATTGTCTTTGGTTAAATATTAATGTAAGAACAAGTGTTTCTTACTTTTCATGTAAAAGAGCACTGCTGCTGAGGCCAGGGTTGCATGTCCACAAAGTGGCATCTCACATGTGGGAGTAAACCAGCGTAATCCAAACCTTGCACCTTTTAAAATATGTCAAATCATTTGATGACAAACCATAGTTTTTTATATGTATAATAATGAAAGAAATAGCTTTCCACCAAGTGGAACTATTGTAAATACTAAAAGGTATGCATAAATACTAAAGAAGACATATGTTAATCACACCTGAAGAAAAATCCATAGAATTCCGTCTTGTGATGAAAGCAGTCTCTGATAAATTCATCTCAGCAGCAATGCTCTGATAAAGATCATGTCGCAGCTCCTAAATATATTACAGAGAAACATTTTATAATATTATACAGTGCTAGCACATTTAGATTTGAAATACATTATCTATACACTGTAGATAACATATATAGAAGACTGTCTTATGTAGTGTAATACTTACATTCTCTACGAGACATACTGCAGCAGGATTACCTTTAAAAGGCACATTGGTAAAAGCATCCACAGTAAATACTGGAATTTCCATTGATTACAGCTTTTCAGATCTAGGATTTTTTTCTTGCCCCTTTTAAGTATTTTTAGAGCTGTATTTGAGATCAAGTTAGACTTTGACCCTAATGACATAGCAGCTCACTTTAACTTTAAAGGTACAGTCTCAAGATTTCGAAATGTCTTTTTAGACTGACTTTTTTACTTTGAAGTGATCTGTAAAATAGTGGAAGATAATAATGGTAATTATTTTTAAAACACACACACACATATATATATATATTCTACACTAAACCAGTTGCAGTATTGTTGTTTGTTGATAGCATTTGCATTATTGGTATTTTCTTGTAAATACAGTATATGATCTCTCGCTACAGTTTCTCCCTATGACTGTAAAATAGACAATTTTATTAATATTCTGCAATAAAATGTATAAAACATTCATTTAGATCTACAGACTTTTAAAACCAATTTTTTTTTGTGTATTTTGGCATGCAAGTAACCACATTTGTCCATTCAGTGAACGAAACATCAGTTTGCAGATCTTTAAGAAAGAAAATGGACTTATTTCCATTAAGCTTAACACATTCAGTGAGAAGGATTTGCAGGTTGTCTAGATTTTAAGAGTTCCCTGGAGAATGATCTGTGCCTGACCAATGATGTTGAGTCGACCATCATCCCTGATCTCCAGCCCCAACTCTCCCCCACGACTGGAGCACTGGTATGCTGGGAAAACAAATAGGAGAGAATAGAACTTTATTGTGCATTTTATTTTTTAATTTTGTAAGTTTTTTGTGAATTAAATCATTCATGTGAACTAATGGGTCCTTTGATTCTTTAGTGAAGGGGGAAAAAAGAAAGAAAAGGCCTTTACCCAACATTTTCTTTTTGTTCAGCTTTTCAGACCAGTAGGCAGCAAGAACTGTATGCGCAGACCCTTCGAGAAATAATTATTAGTCTTTTAAAGCATGAAGAGAATTCATATGAAATGTATGGTGACTATAATTGTGCATTTCCGTTTCTAACCTATTTGAATTCATGGCTTTACTTTCACTTGAGGAAGCTTCTACAGATTTCTCCACATGTATTGTAGGCTGCTGCATTTTGAGAATGATGTGATTATTTCAGCTTACCACAGACTGGATCTTCAAGGACCCCTAACCAAGGTGCAAAATAACGGGAATAGAAGTCATATCCAGGTTGTGCGGTCGGAGCTCCCTTCATTGTAACAATGACACCATTCATTTTCCCAGTAGATTCATTTTTCAGCAGGGATTCTGCTTCAGGCTTCAAAGATGTAAGTTCAGATCTACCAACAACAAACAGTCAACAACCTTGCATGATGATTTGGATACAAAAATAAACTGCCTTTTTGGACAATATTACCAACATACTATTAATTGTTGTCTCTTGACTGTTGCTTTAAAAAAAAGTTTTAAATGTACTTGGCACAAAATTTGCTTCTCTCTCTTGACATTTTTCATCTAATTTAATATACACAAATACAAGACCATTCTTAATATAATTTTCTTCCTTGTTATATTCAGCCTCTGGATGTCCAGCAGTACCTGTCGCATGTGTCAGCAAGACGAATCATCAGGTTCCTTGTGGTTGGATTGTAGCACACATCCTGAATGGGTACATCTCCTACTACAGCCTGAAAATGCATATAAAAGCTTGTTTTTACTAATGCCATTTTAAAAACCTAACATAAGGTTAAATTACTCACTGGCTAACTTACTTTCAAAAGATCCTTGATTTCATGTTGATCCTGCAAATAAAGCATACAAAACTACTTGATTAATCATGAGACTATATGAGTTTTTTTGAAGAAAGCATCCACGAGGTGTGTTTTGGTCATACCTGGGGCTTTGGTTTGTTTAAGGGAAAGTCCATTATTAGAGATTCTTCATGCTGACGCACATAAAGCTCCCCACTCAACGTCTCAAACACCAGTACAGGGTTGACATTTTCTGTGGGATGATATTGTGCTTTTTGAATAGTCACAGTCCATTGTCTTTGGTTAAATATTAATGTAAGAACAAGTATTTCTTACTTTTCATGTAAAAGAGCACTGCTGCTGAGGCCAGGGTTGCATGTCCACAAAGTGGGACCTCAGTTGTGGGAGTAAACCAGCGTAATCCAAACCTTGCACCTTTTAAAATATGTCAAATCATTTTACAACAAATCAAAGAGTTTTGTGTGTGTGTGTGTGTGTGTGTATATAGTAAAAAAAAGTAATAGCTTTCCACCAAGTGGAACTATTGTAAATACTAAAAGGTATGTATAAGTACTAAAGAAGACATATGTAAATCACACCTGAAGAAAAATCCATAGAATTCCGTCTTGTGATGAAAGCAGTCTCTGATAAATTCATCTCAGCAGCAATGCTCTGATAAAGATCATCTCGCAGCTCCTAAATGTATTACAGAGAAACATTTTATAATATTATACAGTGCTAGCACATTGAGATTTGAAATACATTATCTATACACTGTAGATAACATATATAGAAGACTGTCTTATGTAGTGTAATACTTACATTCTCTACGAGACATACTGCAGCAGGATTACCTTTAAAAGGCACATTGGTAAAAGCATCCACAGTCTGAATACTTTCCGTACCCACTGTATATATATATATATACAGTATCTCATAGAAGTGAGTACACCCCTGTAAAATGACACTTTACTACAATGTAAAGTAGTGAGTGTACAGCTTGTATAACAGTGTAAATGTGCTGTCCCCTCAAAATAACTCAACACACAGCCATTAATGTCTAAACCGCTGGCTACAAAAATGAGTACACCCCTAAGTGAAAATGTCCAAATTGGGCCCAATTAGCCATTTTCTATCCACATTGTCATGTGACTCATTAGTGTTACAAGGTCTCAGGTGTGAATGGGGAGCAGGTGTGTTAAATTTGGTGTTATCGCTCTCACTCTCTCATACTGGTCATTGGAAGTTCAACATGGCACCTCATGGCAAAGAACTCTCTGAGGATCTGAAAAAAAAATTGTTGCTCTACATAAAGATGACGTAGGCTATCCACCTTTTTCCTATGCCCCATGATGCTTTGCACGAATTGTGGGTGCAACTTCCCTTACAACGGAAACAATAATTCCCTGCAGTCACAGTGTCACTACTCATTCATAGCAAGATGTGGAATCACACGCTGACAGAACTTATAAAGGACAACATCAACATTCCCGTCCTTCCTTAATAGAGGAATGGGAGGACGATTTAAAAAAGTGGCTGCGCATAACGTACAGTAGCATTTTTAGCTACTTTGTTGATTCAATTTCTTGTGACGGTAAGGCAATGAGCAATTTGAAAAGCTCAGAGGCTTACCAATACCTTCACAGTAATAAAGTAGGTTGTGTGCTATTCAAGGATGTGGGCAATGATTTTGTGTACATAAAAGCTGATGTAGAGCCGAGTCAAAGCCTGAATGTGTCACATTCAGCATAAAGCTTGAGTTTTAGTGTCTACATCAGGTGTCATACAGATGGAAGGGTGCTCATGTATCGCAGGTCCAGGGCGCTCATGTAGTCACACAGCTGCAGTAATGTGGAAGGTCAGTAAATACATGTAAAAAAAATAAATTAAATAAAAAGATGATGAGGACTCACTTTAAATAAACTGTGTTTAACAACAATGTACTAACACTTAAATGTATAATTTGATACAATGCACTGTGCATTGTGTAAATAAGTTTTTACACTGTAAAAACTAAAATGATCATCAAAATTATAAAACATCTAAAATTACACTGCTAACCATACCCCTTAAACCTACCCATACCATGGAACATGTGCCAGCCTTACCCAAATCACACCTCAGTGGCATCAAATGTAAAAAAAATTTTTTTTAAAAAGGTAAAAAAAATTCTCACCATATGCACATAGTTGTTAAAGACACCTAATATGAAGTTGGATTGATGATGATGATGATTGTACTATATTATTAGCATTACCATTAGTATTAGGCTAGTAGTAAAAGCATAATCTGAGTGCTAACTAGTATTTTACATCTAAAAGCTTAGTATAGGAAATTATGATCCGCAGTCACGAGAACAATCTTCTTTTTTCTTTTATTTTACATTCATTACTGATGGGAAAAGACACAAACGTTTCAGCTCAAAGCCTTCCTCAGTGTGTAAAGCAATTCAATCCCTCCCACTGAGGAAGGCTTTAAGCCGAAACGTTTGTGTCTTTTCCCATCAGAAACGAATGTAAAATAAAAGAAAAAAGAAGATTGTTCTCGTGAGTGCGGATCATAATTTCCTATACTAAGTAACTCAACAAGTAACGCAAGAGCGCAGTGCAAACGACGTTGTTAAACTACATCTAAAAGCTACAATAGGGAGGCAAGAAAATAAAGAGTAAGAAAGACTATTATTTCTTCTATAAAGGTAGAGAATGCAGTCAGGCAAGGCAAGACAGGCATGTCATGTACTGATGTGCAAAGAAAGTGGAATGCAGGCACGAGGAAGAGTGTAGGGCTGAGGAAGGCAAAGCACATCAACTTTAAACGCCATAGACCAGGCCACACATATCCAGGCCCATCATCATTACCTCCAGATCTAACAACTTCCCCCCCAGCATTTTAAGAACCATGCTGAGTTTGTAAGCCATAGCAGTTCATCTGTGATGGCACCACTGTTTCAGCTGCAGAAAGAAGGTCTTCTTCAGCTAAGCTTCAGAGCAGATGTAGACAGCAACAGGACCAGCTCAAGTGAACATGATACAGACATATCACACACAGACCACAGCTTAACACAAAGTTGTAGGAAGTGCCTTTTGTTTTATGAGTCCTACATAAAACTATCACCCACCCAAGCAACTACACTAATGGAAGAAACTAAGGTCCAGAGCACCTCACAAATGTGGCATGATGCCAGAAAGCTCCGTACCACTGCCAGCACAGCAAAGAAAGTACCCAAACAACTTACTACTAACCCCAAAAAATTCCTCAATGAGCACTTCTACCCAGCCTTCAAAGGTAATACTGCTACAAAATATGGCAAAGAAAATAAGGGCAATATCATACAACTCATGAAAAGCAGAGGGCACGCTGTGGAGAGGAGAGGCCTGGTGATCCATCCAGAACATCCTTGGTTGGCAGCTAGCCCAGATGGCATCCTAGACTCAACAAAGCTTCTCGAGATCAAGTGTCCCTTCAAGAGCTCCATGTCACTTACTGAGTTTTTGAATCGACCAAATGGTGACATCAGAAGCTTAGGTGATGGGCAGTATGTTATTCTTCCGGATGGAAAGGATGGATACTACCTCCGAGTAAAAAAAAAATATTTTTTTACTGTCTACATAGTGTACAAAAACAACATGTATTAATAACATGTATCTTGGTAATGACGTTAAACTATAAGCACATGCAGTTTAAGTGATGATAAATATTTATCTATGTGCTTGAGATAAGCTCCCCTCCAGCACAAATTCGCAGTATTTTATCAAACTCTGGGACTAAATTAATAGGCAAGTCTGTGAGAGAATCTTGTACATTTTTAGCCGCCTTATTGCCCGTTCAATGTGAATGCGGGTATGAGCAATGCGTCGCGTGTGGGTGACTTCCTCATTAGTCAGCTGGCACTGTTTGCGTGTAAATGCTGGCATAACTAAATTCACCTTGCGTTCCTCCAATAAGTCCCTGATAGTGAATTCACGGTTCACCATCACCTCATCTCCGGGCCTCAAGCAGTCCAGAAACCCTGAGTTCTGTGCAATGTACCTGTCGCTACATTTGCCACCATAACCCTCTGAAATAAACACGACTAATCCAGATGGAGAAGTTGCTACCAGATACTAAAGGGTATTACTGGCATAATAGTGACTGTACGATTCACTTCTTGAATCTAGATTTTTAGCCTTCTGTAGAACAGTTTCTGTGCAGTCAATTATACAAGTAGTGTTTGGAAAATTATTATTAAAAGCCTCTGACAGAGTTGCCTTGATGGTTTCATGGGGCAGCCATGGAATAAGATCCTTGGTATGCTTGTAAAAAACATCTATCCAAAATTTCAGTTTTGCTGACTTGACCATGTGACTTGCCAAAGCGTTTTGCCAAGTCAGCAATGACAAAGTTCTGTCTGAGTTTCATAAGTGTCAACAGGATTTGGTCTGCAACAGGCATTGCAGATGAAGTAGGGGCAAAACCTTGCAGGCAGGATACAAGAGTGTGGAACTGAAGAAGTGGAATAACTGTGTACAACAAGCAGTCTGCATTGTTTGTTAATGTATAACTTGCAGCTGGCTGTAACTCAGGGGGTGGTGCGAGTGTTAAGCTACATGGGATTGTGGGTCCTTTCGAATAAGTGTGGTCCTCCATCCATGGATCGGACCACTGCGTTTGGGCATCACAGAGGGAAGTAGGATTTTGTTCCACATCCACGGTATTAAGCTCACCTACAGGTAACAGAATAATTGCACATTGAGAATTCAATAAGAGTTGTTGCTGTGGTTGTTTAAACAAAATAAGAAAAAGTCAGAAATGTATTTTAGGAAAAATTATTTATAACCTTAAAATAAATGTCTGGCTTTGGCTTTGTAATATATTTATATATATATATATTTATATATATATATATATATA